AAATAAGTTTCTAAACACAAGGCAGAAACTAAATTTAATTATTAGGCAAAGCAGCAGACGAGGCGTCAGCAAGGACCTAGCATTAGGCATAAAACAAACTCACAACCAAATCAACTAAAACAACAACAAGAACAACAACAACAACAAGTAGCAACATAACAACAACACAAGCGAACAAACAAACAAACAAGAAACAAACAACAAAGTAGTTTTGCATATCCACGAAAATTATTTAAAAGAAAATATAAGAAAAATACCAGAAAACAACATAAAAACCAAATTACGAAATTATGGAGAAATATATTAGTTTATAGAGCGCAAATATTTTCACAGCCACAACAATACAATACAAATACATATTACAACCAAAAACAAAACAAAATATATATATACATACGTATATACATATATATATAAATATATATACAAATATAAATATATATATATGTATATATATATATATATATGTATAAAAGCAAAAAAGGAAAACTAAAAAAAAAATACTTTATAAAATTTAAGAAAAGCAAACAAACTTTGAACGAGAAAACGACAATTTTTTAACCTTCCCAAAACCAAAAGAAACCCAAAAAAAAAAATAAAAAGAAAATACAACAATAATTCCAAAAGAAATTCTTTAAAGACAAAAATAAATATAAAAAAATTTTGTAGTTTAGTTGAATTTCTTTGCATTGATTTTAAATATGATTGGCAGACAGTCACATACACACACACACACACACATATATATACATTAGTTTTATAAACATATATATATACATGCATAAATATATTAAAAATTTAAAGAATGTTTTCTAAAAACATTTATTAAGATTCATTTCCATTGCGCTTAAATTTAATTTAGCAAATTTTGCCACATCCAAAAATAACTAAAATATACAAATAAATTTATCTAAATATAAACAGCAACAAAAACAAAAAAACAAATATTAATGCCACCAGGACAGACACAGTTGAGCATGAACATTCAATAATTCAACATATTATTAAATAAATAGCTAAATAATAGTTTTTAATTAACAACGGTTGAAATTTTACGTTTCCTATGAGGCTCACATTCATTTTTGTTTGTTTTATATTGCGCGGTGTTTCATTGAATTACTTAATATACATATTATTATTTTTTAATTCTTAAAAGATGAAAAATAAAAACAGCACACACACACACACACACATACACACACACCATAAGCTAGACTTTGAAGGCAGCTCAAGAAGCAAGAAAAGAATTTTTTTTTGTGCAAACTTTTTGGTAGTTTGCTTGAGGCTTGACATGAGAATGTTTTATTATTATTTTTTTTTGTGCTTGACATGAGGATGTATCTTATTCCTTTTTTTAACATGTAGTTAAGTAGTTACCAAGAGGCTGCTTAGATTTGCCAGTTGCTTTGAGTTGACAAACTGAAAATGGAATTTCTGAAATGCTTCTGAGCTGTTGAATAGGTGTTTGCGAACAAAAACAAAATGAAACAGCATAAAAACAAAACAAAATAAAATAATAATAAAAGACACAAAATAGCTGCAATACGTTATAATTACGTCAATATGTTCCTAACAATATAGACATACATGCATATTTATAAATTATGATTAACTTACTGTAAAGCGACAGCAAGAGCAACAATTTAAACATACAATAATTCTTTAAACATAAGTGAGCAGACACACACACATACAGACCCACACACATACACATGAATAAAAGCAAAAAAAATAAAAAAAATAACACATATATAAAAATAGTTTAAGAGGCGCGTGACTAAATTCAATTTTATCATTGCTTAACTTAAGTTGCGTTTGATTTTAATTATAACGTACACACACACACACACACACACACAGACACACACATATATACACATAAGTACTATTGATATTAATTTTTAAGCGTTCCATTAAAACTATAAACAAATATTTGTTTATCTGACAGCGCATTAAAAATATTTAAATAATTTTTAAATTCAAAGCAGACTTTTGAAATCTATAAAAACTAAATTTAATATTAATTGCAATTTAAGTTCCATTTCATTATTTGTAGTTTTTTTTTTACTTAAAATAAGTAATTAATATACAATAAATATATATATATATATATATATATTTATATATATGTGTATATTTAAATATATATTTATTTATATATATTTAAAGTACATCATTTTTTCGTAAATAAATTGATATAAAGAACAACATTATTTATTTAACGCATGTTTCACTCATTTTTTAACTCACACACACACACCCACACATACACACACATCCCTCACACTTGCATCCAGTTTGACTCGCGCCAGCGAATTGTGAATTCTTGAGCTTTCTCAGACCATTTCATATAAATTCAAATTATATTAACTCTTATGTATTTGTTAGTTTTGTATAACAATTATATCTGGACTAAAGGCCAGTTAAGGAGCTTGAGCTTGATTTAAAATATATGAAAAAAGTAATAATAATATACGACAAAAAAAAAATAAATAAAAAACACCCACACGAGAGAACATCCGATACACAGAAAGAAGGAAGGTTAAAAAATCGATATATACATATACATATATACCTACATATATATATATATTTTTTTCGTAGTCGAAGCAAGTCGAATGTAAAACCTAAAACCTTAAACCAACTAAAAGCACTGAGCAACACTTATAGTCAACTCATTTTCGAGTTGTCCAATGCTGAATAATGGAAACAAGTCAAGTACTCGTAATGAATAATGACTAATGAACAATGATTTAATAATGCGAGCAGCTTATATCAGGCACCAACAAATAGACGCAAACAAGCAACAACAAATATTTTAGATGAGAAATTCAATAACTGACATACCCACACACACACCCACACACACGCACACACACCAACACACGTACACACAATGGTAAATTAAACATATTTTAGGCAAACCCCAAAGGCAACAAAATTTATACAAAATTATTAAATGAAAAGCAAAAAAGTTTATAAACAAAATATTTAAGCAAAGCAAGGCATATCATAGTTTATAAAAAAAAAAAAGTAACCGAAATACACACACAGACACACACACACAGATCTGAAAAACACACACACAGAACAGGAAAATTCCCAAAGCAAAAATCGGTTTGCAATATCGAAATTCAATAGCACACTATTTAGCAAAAAGGCTAAACGGGAGTTACTTAGGACCCAAAACTTGGAGTGTTATGAGAATATGTTGTAGAAGAAAAAAGAGAAGAAGAAGAAGCATAAGAAGAAGCAGATAAACAGGCTAGACAGCGCTAGGTAAGAAGTTTAACCTAAGAGGACCTAAAAAAGAAAAAGAAATACATACAATATATGATATGATATAGGGTCATGCACAATGCCTGCTATATAGCCTAGACACCGCAATTTCTAGTTGACGAAAGCGTAGCCGTTTATGAAACAATGAGAAACAACAACAACAACAACTACAACAACAACAAATAAACAAACAAAACATAAACAAACATTATGAGCGAGATAAAAAAGAACAATACAAAACTAACAAACAAACAAACAAACAAAACAAAAAAAGAGTAAAGAATGAAACACAGAACAAACAAAAAAAAAAAAGAACAACAACAACAAAAACAAGATGAAAAGAAGGGAAAATAAATTCTATATAAATAAAACTACTGAAAATAACGAGCACGACTTTTTATTGGGCAAAAAATCGAAGCGAAACAGTAGAAACTTGTCTGAAAGCAATTTAAAGGTTTAATTATATGACAAACATCATAAATTCAATGAATTATTTAAATATATGTAAGTGACAGTAACTGTAATTACAGAGTATTAATTAGTAATTACTTTATTAATTGCAATTACTTGATGAATTCCTTAAGTAAATAATTCTAATTACTTGAGCAAATAATTTTTAAAAATCTTCATTTAGTCTAATTGATTAAGCCAACTGAATAATTTATTTATTCAATTGATTAAGTACTTGCAATAGCGTGAGCAATTACATTAACAAATATTCTAAGCTAAGAAGAGTATTCTAATTGATTAGGTTAACTGAGTAATTGACTTAATGAATTGTGTGAATACTTTTAATTACTTAAGCAATTACTTTTTAAAGCATTCTTCACTTAGTTAAGTATTTGAAATGATTCAGTTGATTGATTAATTAATTTTACATATTGATCAAATAATTCAAATTACCTGTGCTATTATTTTTTAAAATATTAACCTCGTGACTTAGTAAAATAGTTCAAATATTAATCAAATTTGAATTCCCCCAAAGATAATTGAACCTTTAAATTGCTTTTGCATAAGAATTCTTTGGCGGGGGACTTGAGTAATCCAAGAAAGTATTCGCAAATTGTAAAAGTATTTATTTATAATTAATAACTACCTATAAATTAAATTTAAGCTTCATCGAATTTTTCAACACTGGCTTTTGGAAATACCCTTGAAAAAGGGGCTTTTAAAATATTATAATCTTATATTGATTGTTCGTATTTCTATCGAGGAATCGAACAAGTCGAAACGAGTAGTTGTAAATTTGACTGTGAACATTTGAAGTATTCATTAATTTTTCAAGTTATGTCTCGAAACGCTGGCATCGCATACGTAAGTACTTACCGAGAACTGGCAAGAAAACGTTCTAAACAACAAATAAGTAAATAAAATAGGAATCTAAGTTAGCTGTATGAACTAGTAATTATGCTTAGTCGTCCACATTTTCATTTGCTGTTTGGCTTGGGCAGATACTCTGCTTAGAGCGTATATAGAGTATGTAAATAGCGCACCGCATGCTCCGTTTCTGGCCTCAACTCTTTCTGTTCCCCACTCTTGACTCTTTGCAACTGGCCTTGAGTATGATGCACCAAAAGATGCCACACGCACATGCCACTAAAACACACACACTCATCTTTGCCACTTGGCAGCAAATTGACTGGCCCCGCCCTTGACCCCCGCGACCCCCCCGCCACCCTGTTGATATACATATAATATGTGCCACGCCCATTCTAATAAATATGCCTCTTTTTGCACAGCTGCTGCGCAACTTTGGCTCACCGATGAGCGCAATGACCGCCAACCGCTGTCCTACACCATTCGCGTTTCCATTCTCGCCGCTCGGCCTGAGCCTATTCGACATTGATCCGTCCAGAATACTGAACCTGCTGCACCACCAGACCTGGCTGGCCGAAGAGGCATTGCGGTAAGTATAAGGCATGGCAAAATATGAAACACAATTAGAAAGCATCACAAACTCTTGCAGCACGCGCGGCCTGCTGACCGCACCCAAGGATTTTCCTCATCGTTTTACCACGCTAAGCGATCTGCTTACCAAGGACTATCAGCCAACTGGTGCCGGCTATGCGGCTAAGCAGCCACAGTCTACAACCAACCGTTCCAGCGATGCACAGTACAAACAGCAGCAGCAACAGCAACAGCAGCAGCAACAGCAGCAACAATCGCAGCAGCAACAATCGCAGCAGCAGCAACAGCAGCAGCAGCAACAGCAGCCGCAGCCTCATGCTGCCTTTGGTATGCGCTATGCTACGCCCACAGGCTTTTTTGCCCAGTCGAAAAGCGTCAAATCCGCAGGCGCTCCCTCCCCCCAGCAAATGGCCAGCTCGTCGAACATGGCAACGGAATCACAGCTGGACAGCCAAGCGGCGGACAACGATGATGTGACCATTGTGGAGCTGGGCAGCGAGCGCAGCGTGGTCACGCCCAACAGCAGTGCGCTGCTCTACAAGGAGTCGCTGGAGCAGCTGCTGGCCCAACAACAGCAGCAGCAACAGCAACAGCAACAGCTGCAGCAGCGACGGCGCGCCGCCAACAACAGCACGCCAAGCGCAGGCACTGCAGCTGTAACTGCAGCTGGAGCTGGAGCTGGAGCTGGGGCTTGTGGCGTGGCCGGGGCTGGAGGCGTCATTGTGGATGCCAGTGGCTTGCGGCAGTATACGCAGCTGTTGCTGTCCGGCGCCGGCACGCCGGTTAGCTGCACGGACACGTCGAGCAGCTGCAAGGAGAAGAGCTCCTCGTCGTCTACCTCATCGACGCCGCCGCCAAGCGGCGCTCTGCTCGCCCAGCATCAGCAGCTGAGCCAAATGCTGAAGAGTCCATCGGACACGTGCTCCTCGCTGTTCAGCGAGCCCATCGAGGAGGAGACACGCTGTGTCGTTTGCAATGCCCACTTCCCGAATGTCTGGCTGCTGGAGCAGCATGCGGCATTGCAGCATCCGCACATTGGGCCCGGCGAAGAGAAGCCCTTCATATGCGAGCAGTGCGGTCAGTCGTATCGCTATCGCAGCGCCTATGCCAAGCACAAGGAGCAGAATCATCGCGCCCGCCTCCCAGCGGACAAGCTGTTCACCTGCGACGTGTGCGGCATGCAGTTCCGCTATCTCAAGAGCTTTAAGAAGCATCGCCTCAATCATGCGCTCGAGCGACTCCACGGCAAGAAGAGCATTGGCGCCGGTGTCGGTGTCGGTGTCGGCGTCGGCGTCGGCGTCGGCATGGCAGCAGCACGCATGATTAGCGGCACAGCGTCATCGGCAGCAACATCCGCACAGGTGGAGCAGGATGTGGTGACCAGCTCACAGGAGCCGATGCTCGCCGACGAAGGCGAGGACCTGCGCATCAACGTAAAGCGCGAGGGCGACGAGTCGGCCGCTGCCGGCCAGCAGGAGGCCGCCAGCGAGGAGCACGAACAGGACAACACAATTGATTCGGCGGGCATCACAATGCTCTACAATGACAACAACTCATCGGCTTCGGCCTCCACCAGCGCCACGGAGCCAAACATCAGCAGCTCAGACGGCATACATAGTACAAACAAGCGGGTAAGACTCACGACATCTGCAAACCCCCAGCTCCTAGAGCGCAACACTTGTACAGGGTATTGTTACTTTTGATATGATAATTTATTATAATTATAATTACATATAATTATAATTTTGTTTAAAGAAGACATCTCCCGACCTCATAAGGTATCTGTTCATAAATATCAAATTTATCAAAAGGCAAAATATGTATGTGTCCATATATGTATTTGTGTGTGAATGTATATTTGTATGCATGTGCTTACGTATACATATTATATATGCATAGCTGTATAAATGTATAAACTCATGTATGTACGTGAATCTATATGTATGTATATAATATGTCGGCATGTATGTAACCGTAAGTATGTATGTATGTGTCTGTGTATGTATGTGTGTAGCAAGTGTAGACAAAATTAAATTCAAGCTGCGCTGCAAATTTGAAAGTAACGTACTTATAATTGGTGCCTTCCTCTTAGATTCTCAAAAATGCAAGTAAGCCAGGCAGGTTTCCTTGCTTTGACTATACGTTTTTTTTGTTTGTGAAAAAGTGTCGTGCTTATATAAAGGTATGTTTTTGTAAATTTGGTGATGTTTGTATGCATGAATACATATAAGTAGCTTTGTTTCTATGTGTGTATGTATGTATGTTTGTATGTGTGTATGTATGTACGTATGTATGTATGTAGTCGAATTCGTGAAAATTCAAAATCACATATTTTCAAGTGTTGCCTTACTATTCGTTTCTCATGATTACAAGTGAGTCTGGCTGGTTTCCTTGCTGTGAGTGTAAGTTTTTGAAAAATAACACAAAGGTCATTTCAGCTTATCTAATGAATATTTATTGATTATCATGAATTTTAAGTGTGTCTGCAACTTAACTTGTTATTATCTTGCAGTCACGCCTGTTGAACAGCGCACACCACTTGGAAACGGATCCCTCCTATCATCATCAGCAACACCATCATCATCAACAACAACACCATCATCACCAACAGCAGCAGTCGCAGTCGCAGTCACAGCAGCTGCCTCCACACCTGGCGCACGTCTCACTGCCAATGGCCAGCGCCGCCGCCGGGTCATCCTCGGCCGCGGCAGCCGCTGCGGCTGCTGCAGCCGGTTGCAATACGAGCCCCAGCGCTGGCACAGCTAGCACTGCCAACAGCGGCGTGGGCGGGAGCGGCATCAGTTCGCTTAGTTCGCTGACATCGCTGATCAACGCGGAACGCATACCCAATGAGCAGTTCCTGGGCCTCAATCCGCAGGAGGCTTCAATACTCAATTTCTTGCGAGTCGATGCCGCCGAGCGACAGCGGGACAAGCGGTAAGTTGAAATGGTTCAATGGTTCAGAGTATAGCACGCATGCATTCGATACGCCTCTTCTCGAATATAAATCGAATTAAATGAACTTCCATTGCAGGCCCGCCACCTCGCGCTTCGCCTGCCCCTTTTGCGGCAAGTGCGTGCGCTCCAAGGAGAACCTCAAGCTGCACGTGCGCAAACACACCGGCGAGCGTCCGTTCGTCTGCCTGTTCTGCGGTCGCGCCTTTGGCGGCAAGTCGGACCTGACCCGCCATCTGCGCATCCACACCGGCGAGCGGCCGTATCACTGCGAGTCTTGCGGCAAGTGCTTCGCCCGGGCGGATTATCTATCCAAGCATTTGACCACCCACATACACAATGCGCCGCGCTGAGATGAGGCGCGTAGGAGGCGTCTCCTACGCAGATAAGCCAACAAACACACACACACACACACACCCACACACACACATACGTACACATACACTACACAGACAACACACTCAAACACCCAAGAGGCATACATTACAGGAAACATATGCAAATTTATGTATAGATCTATTATTACCACCATCATTATTAGAATTACAATATGAGAAGGCAAGTGTCTATTTTTTTTTTTTTTTTTTTTTTACCTTGAGAGTAGTCACAAAGTTCGAATTTTTTGAGGTAGCCGTGAGGGGAAAGTACGTGCTGAGGTACAGTCAGCGCACAGATCAACCATAGAGCAAATATGTGTGCAGGGTTGAATCTTGTATTTTTTTTTTTTTTTGGTTCTTTATCGTAATTGTAATAAGGAACATTAACAACTATTAGCACGGGTATTAATGTGTTTAAGATTTGAAACTAAAACATAAAGAACGTAATTAGTCGAAGTGTTTTTTTTTAATACGCAATTTTTTTGTATGTTTAAGTGAAGGTTTTTTAGTGGATTATATATGTGTATGCACTGCACATGAAAACCTAAAGAATTTTGTTAGGTTTTTAAGGGATTTCATTAGTTCTGGCAGCTGCAAAGCAACTAACTACAACTACAACAAAATGCAATATTAAATAGTCTGTTTTTTCTTTTGAATCAACAAAAATATCACCAAGTACCATAATCTGCCGTTTACACAAACTTTAAAATCTAATTTTACATTTTTTAAGTTCAACGAAAGCACAAAACAAATAGCTAAATGTATTGTACAAATTGAAAAACAAAAAAAAAAAACAAAAACAAAACAAAAAAATGGTAACAAATCTAGAAAAACAACTAACTAAAAGAGTTTAACTCTGAGCTGAGACAGAAAACGAGGCGAGTTGGCAGCACCAATGCGGAAGAAGCAGAGCTTGTCCCAGCAAGAGAGCACATAGAATGAGCAGAAAACAGAAAACAGCAACAATAACCAGCAAACAATAAATAATGCAATTTATTTGTTTTACTTCTTAGCAATTATTATATAATTAATGCAACTAAATAAAAATAGACAAACACACTCTCACACACACACACACACACACAGTGGCACACTGATAGACACGAAGAGGGAAACGAAAATCAAAAGAAATCCACAGAGGCATGAGACAAAAAATGTAAACTAAGTAAACTACTTACAATGTGTACTGTACATATATATAAATATGTAACTGATTATGTTTTTACCGTATGTGCTAGCTAAAAGCAAACAGACAACAAAAACAATACAAATGAGAAACTTATTATTATTTATACAAATCAAAAAACAAAAACAAAAATCTTAAAACTTAAAACAGCAAAGCAAACTGAATGAGGCAAAACCAATATATATTTTGGGCGGGAGTTTTGGGGAACTTGGGGGATTTGGGGGGGCTTACGAACGTAGTGGGTCCTTTTGGAAGACGGGGAACGGGGTGAGGGGGGAGGTTGAGGCAAGAGCTAGATTTACAAATAATATTTACTTATGTGCAACCACCGTCAATAGTTTAATTATTACATACAACAACAAATATACAAACAAATAGAAGAAAACACAATAACTAATTACAATAGAAATAACAATAACAATTACAATTACAAAACATAGGCATACGTTTTTTTACAAAACTACAACTACAACAACACAAACTAACTGTGATTCCAGCAACAAGAAAATAACAATTACTTACAATTTAAACTAAAAACAAAAACAATAGCAAAGCTAATTACATTTAACTATCACAAAACAAAACAAAATACAACTACAAATAAACAAATCAACCAACAATAGGCAAATTTGGCGGCATTTGAGCGCAGCTTTTCACCACACACACACGCTCACACATCGCAGTGCGTGTGTATTAGTGAGCTTTTGACATTTCCTTGCGGCTTATAGCAGCCAGCATCGCGTCGTGCGTGTATGTGTCTTGTGTGTGGCTCTCAAGTCTGCGCTCAAATGCCGCACGTAACGAAATGTGCAATTTTTACAATATATATACTTAAAGACTACTGATTTGTATATGCCCAGAAGCCGCTTAGTTTATTATTGCTCATTTCGCAAAAGTTGCAACAAGTTACCACCAAATAAAACGCACACTCACACTCACACACACACACACACACACACACACACACACACACACACACACACACACATACACTCATAAATCACATGCCACATGAGACAAGAAGTGAAAACTAGAGACAGAAACCGAAACCGAAACGGAAACAGAAACAAAAACAAAACACATACAAAATATGAATTAACAAATTTTGAACCAAGAACATCGAATTAAATTGTAAATGTAGTTTCAACATCAAGAGGCAAAAACATCTATAAGAAGTATATACATAGTATATACATACAAATATGAAATGCCGTTTCCATATATACACATATATATATATATATATATATATATACATATATATAAATATATTTTTTTTTAATGAATGTCGTAAGCCTGAAGCGAATACTTAAAAACAACATATTTGCCGTACCAAAAACAAAAAAAAAAATATAATAATAATATATGATAATAATAAACCTTAAACAAAATGAAATAATAGTTAAAAACAATTCAAACTATCGTCAAGCAGAAAAGAGAACTAACTAACACACGCCCACTCACACACATGTAAAGTGGTAGTAGAAAAGTTAAATGAAGAAAAACTTTCACTGTGCCAAAAAGTTTAAAGTACCTCATAATTTAAAGAAATATTAATAATGAAACAAAGAAAATATACCACAACACATAAACACACAGAAACTTGCCCACAGTAGTTAAATTGAATGTGCTCCTTGCTAAACACTTAAACTAATTCAACTCAAATCCAACTACAATTAATTCGAATGCAATTCAGAGGCAGGTTTACAGTCAGTTAAACATAATTAAGCATCGCCACGGGCAAATATGTGTACACAAGCGTTGTCAATAGAGTAAAAGCTAAAAGCTCAAAGCTACTGTTAAACTAACTAACTAGCTACTTATAATTTACCAGCCAGTTGTAACAATATGCTTGATCTTTGTTGTTGTCAACAAGCTATAGACCAGAATGTATATTGCAAGTGTTAGGCAAAAGTTGAGATTCTTTAATCAGCATATAATTCAAATTTCTCTCAAAGTTAATTTCTGAGTATTTTAGTAACTCTCTCCCTCTCTCTCTCTCTCTCGCACACACTCTTTTTCTCTTTCTCTCTCTCACTCTCTCCCAGAAAATGCAAATAGTGTTCAATTGTAGTAAAATTTTGTGATAGTTTAACAACTTTATGTGCACAATTTTGTACTTTTTTTTATTATTTTATTTTATTTTATTTTTTGGTACATTTAACTAAAACATCTATTTTTAATTGCTGATTTATTAATAGTTTTAATAATATCTTGTGTAACAGCAGAAAAGACAAATCCTGCATATTTTTTGTTTGGAAATTTGTTCAATATATCTAACGAAATCGAAAGAAATATATTTATATATATATATTCAACGATCAGGGCCACTAGCAAATGTTTTAGTTTTAATTATATTATTTATAAACTGTATATGTTTTATGATATTTTTTTTTTCATATTTTTTAAAAATTGTTCAGCTTATTTCGGATTTAGTTTTTATTTATGTATTTCAAGAAACAAATGCTACTGCAACAACAACAACAACAACAACAACAAACACTGCCTTTTATTGAAAGCACAAAAACACACAGAAAACAAAAAAAATTAAAGCTATCTGCATAATTTTAGCATATTAAATTTTACAATTTCTCCTACTTCTCTCTCTTTTTTTGTGAATTTTCAAACATCACAAGTGCAAAAAAAAAATAAAAATAAAAAAAACAAGCCACTTTTATGTTCATTTTTTTATATTTGTTGCTCAAGGTACATTTTCTTATTTAATTATGCAAAAATAAAAAATAAAATAAAAATATACATGTAATTTTTTGAATTGACAAAAATAACATGCTGTGAGCTATGTATGTGAAACGTTGATTTTTTGTAACACTTATTATATTAAATTCTTATTATTTGATAGTATTTATTAATAAAGTTTTTTGCATTATACATAAATTCCTATATACCTATATATACACTATGATGTTTTTATTTATCTGCACAGAGCCGAATCCTTTGACCCTTTGGACTTTCTTTATGTTCATAGTCAAACGCCTTAAGCAAAATGAATATATTGAATAATAACAAAAGTTAAAAAATAAATAAGACATTCCATTTGGCTAAGGGCATTCAAGAGAAAGAAAGAAAACAAAAACTAGGTAAGCAATAAAGAAATATTAATAAACAAAATTCATATAGGTATAAAATTTAAGTAATTTTTCCCATTGCAAAAAACAAAAACAAAACAAAATATGGAAAAACAAAACTTTTGGTGTGTGCTAAGCTAAAGGAATTCAATTACCACATAAATGTTAAAACCTAAACTAATACAATGGATAAAAATTAATAATTTATGATTAGAAGAAACCATTTTTTTTTCTAAGTGCGTAGGAAACGGAGACTAGGAAGAGAATATTCATTTGTAAGCCATGCATAAATTAAAACCAACAAATTGGAGGGATTCAAGACTCTTATTTCATATATACATGCATACATATATATATATATATATACATATATCTATATATATATATATATATATATATATATATATATATATATATATATATATATTACAAATTTACCATATATATATTTACATAATATATGTATGTAAGTTACAAGAATTTTTTTTTAAGCATAAAGCAAAATAAGGCATAAACAAAATGCAGGAAATACGTGTAACAAAAATATTACAAAATCCAACAACGAAACTTTTGGCATTAAATCGATGCATTTTTAAACAATATTTATTTATATAAACATAGGGATTAAATAACACACACATACACACACACACACGCCCACACACACACACACACATACGCAAACACACAAAAACGTTTAAGAAAAAAGATAAAGAGAAAGCAAAATTATTACGCATAGAATATATATATATATATACTATATCTATATACAGAACATGAATGTATGTACATGTGGTTTTCGGTGTCTATTACATATATAAATAGATATATATACAAATACAAATACGAGATGCAATATATGCATATACATACATACACATATATATATATGCAT